GACTGCAGCGCCATCTGAAGCAAAGAGCGGACTTCCGGCGGACACTTTTTTGGCTGAGTGGACCATCTTGTTATGTACTTTCTTTGCTTAGGCCTACTTTACTTTACTTTTATCCGCCGCTTATACCCTTCTGAGTGTCGCGGGAAGAAAGAGACGTCTCTCTGTCGCCAGCCAGAGAGCTTGGGTCAGGGGGATGCCGTGGGTGGTTAATATTTCCCTGACTCCATCTATCCAGGTCTTTCTCGGTCGCCCTCTAGCCTTGTTGCCATCGAATTTTTGGATGTAGGCACGCTGTGCTGGATGGTGTGTTCGTAATCGTAGGAGATGTCCGAACCATTTGATTCTTTGGTGTTGGATGTGATGCATGACATCATTTGTGCCCACCATTTCTCGGATTACAGAGTTTCTAATTTTGTCTCGCCTTGTCTTGTTTACTGCTTTTCTAAGGCATCACATTTCACATGTTGTAATTCTTTATTCAAATGTCTTGTTTGTGGTCCATGTTTGGCACTGATAGGTGAGTGTTGGGATGAATATGGTGTCGATCATTTTGAGTTTTGTTGTCATGGGGATGTTAGGATGTTTCAGTAGTGGAGTAAGCTGGTGGTAACTAACATCATTGGCCTTTTGTACTCGTGTTTCAATTTCTCTGTTCAGTCGCCCGTCATCTGTGAATATACTTCCGAGGAACTTAAATTCTTGAACCAGTCTGAGACTGTTGTTGTTGTTGATGTGTATCCTGGGTGGTTCTGGCTTTCTGCTTACTTTCATTGTCTCTGTTTTGTTGATGTTGATCTTCATGTCGTAGTTGTTACATTCTTCGTTTAATCTGGTTGTGTGGTGTTGGAGACTTCGTTCATCTTTGTGTGCCAGGCTTTGGTCAGCAGCGAAGAGTAATTAATTTAGGGCGTCTGGTTCTGTGTTGGCCTCTTTTGTAATTCTATCCATATATATGATAAATAGTAGTGGTGATAGGACACAACCTTGTCTTACTCATGATGTTATCTCGAACCATTCTGTGAATCCCTCTGGACGTTCTTACTGTACTTATGCTATTCTCGTAAATGGCACGGATGTTATCTAGAAGTTGGCCTCTTACAGTGTAGTTTTCAAGTTCTTTCCACAGTTTGTTTTTGTTCACTCTGTCGAACGCTTTCTCCTGGTCGATAAATACTATATTTAGTTCCCTGTTGTGTTCTATTACCCTTTCGTACATTTGTCGTAGGGCAAATATTGCTTCGGTGCATCCTCTTCCCTTTCTAAATCCCTTTTGGGCCTCACTCAGAAATGGTTGAACGTTTTTGTTCACAAAATGCAAAAAATTGAAATGAGAGCTGTGATGAAGTTCTTTCATCTCCAAGGAAAAAACCCCACGGTCTGTACTGGATAAAATGTCAGTAGTGTATTGAGATATCTGCCCAAGCTATGATGTGGTTAAATATTTGTGCAAGCGATTCAAATGTGGTAAAACGTCAATTGAAGACAACCCTCGAGAAGGTCGCCCTGTCTCAGCCGTGACTGAAGACAATGTTTCAAAAGTCAAGAAGATTGTGCTGAATGACAGGCGCGTTACTCTCGGACAACTTTGTGCTGAAACTGGCTTGAGTTATGTATCTGTTGAGACAATTCTTCACGACCATTTGAATATGTTCAAAGTGTCTGCAAGATGGGTGCACCGTCTCCTAACCCCTCATCAAAAAGAACAGAGAGCAAAGTGCAGTCAGCAAATGATTGACATGTTTGATGAAGATCCTGACAACTTTTTTGACCGTTTAGTAACAATCGATTAAAGCTGGGTCTATCACTTCGACCCATAGTAAAGAACTGCTTCAATACTATGGAAAACACCATCTTCCTCCACCCCTAAAAAAGTCAAAGTTCAGAATTCATCTTGCAAAGTGTTGTTATCGGAGTTTGGGGATCAGGATGGGACAATTCTTACGGATTATCTACAAAAGGGTTGCATTATCACAGGGGACTACTATTCAGACTTACTAAAGAGATTGAATGTAGCTCTGAAGGAAAAATGACGTGGTAAACTGAGGAAAGGTGTCTTTTTGCTTAATTTAGTTTAGTATGGGGTTTTACCGCGCTCGCAACTGCATAAGGTCATATGAGCTTCATGACAATGCCCCGGCGCTCGCGTCGCGTAAGGCGATGCCAATGCTGAGGAATGTGGGGTATGAAATATTGCCACGCCTTCCGTATTCCCCCAACTTAGCACCTTCAGACTTTTTAAAATTTCTAATTTGAAGAAACACATGAAAGGCCAAAGATTTGAAACAGATGAGGACGTCATAAACGAAGTGGAACGCTCTTTTGAAAGGCAAAATAGATCATTTTTTTCAGAAGGACCTTTCAAGGTCATTCATCGCTGGCAAAAATGTGTTCTTGAGGCTGGTGACTACATAGAGAAATACGTGTCTACATTCCAAATTTCAAGTTCGTAGCTTCACTCCTTCATACTCAGGCAAAAAACGTATTTGATATCCCCTCGTATAGAGAGAGAGGGGGGTGAGAGAGATAGATAAATAGAGAGGGAGAGAGAGGGAGCGAGAGAGAAAGAGAGAGGGAGTGAGAGAGGGAGAGAGAGAGAGAGAGAG